TTTTTCTTTTTTATTCTGGGATTTATTTACCTTCTATGGCTGTCACTGGAACTGAGAGCCGGCTTTAGCTCTGAGGCTCGGCTCCAGCTCTGAGACCTCGGCTGCTGAAAGCAGGTATCTGGGTTTGTTTGGCTTCTATAATTGAAACACTGTTGCAGCTCCAGCTCCAAGGCCGGCTGGCTGAAAGCAGGTTTCTGGGGTTTGTTTAGCTTCTATAATTGCAACATTGTTTCTTAGAATGCAGCTCAGAGGCCGGCAGCGGCAGGCGGGGAACCTTGGCTTCCTCCATCACTGGAGCAAGCAAGCCTCCTGTTCGCTTCAGTTGCCTGGCTGCCGGCCGCCATCTTGTTTGGCCGTTAATTTGCATATCACCCTGATTAGCCAATGGGAAGTGTGTCGGAGGTACGGTTAATTACCATGTTTGTCTATTATTAGATAGGATTCTATATACATTATATACTGTATGTTTCTAGAAAATCCAGTGTGCATTAAACCAATATAAAAATAAGTTTTTAATGTAAAACAATTGGGTTCTAGGCTCAGTTTATCATTGTAAATTGGTATTTTTCATTAATCTGTATACTTTCTAGGAAAGATGGTTGGGAGGAAGCAGGCTATTCAACCTTGGCAGTATTGATATTTATAGCTGAATAATGTTTTTTGGTGTTGGGGTTGTCACTGTACCCTATAGGATGTTTAGCAGCATCCCTGACTTCTTTAGATGCCAGTAGCATACTTTCCCTCAAATTGTGACAATCAGAAAGGTGCCAGACCTTACTAAATGTTCCCTGGGGAGCAAATTGCCAGGGTTGAGAATTCTATTAAAGGTACAGCTTATGGCCCTGGCCCGGTTGCTCAATTGGTTGGAGCATCGTCCTGTACATCAAAAGGTTGTGGGTTCGATTCCTGGTCAGGGCATATGCCTAGGTTATGGGTTCGATTCCTGTTTGGGGTATGTAGGGGAGGCAACAGATAGATGTTTCTCACATCGATGTTTCTGTTTCTCTCTTCCCTTTCTTCCCCTCTTTCCACTTTCCTTACCTCTCTCTAAAAATCAATAGTAATAAAAAACTATATCCTCTGGTGAGGATTTTTTAAAAGGTACAGCTTATGTTTATAAAATAGGGAAAAATTAAGATAGATTGTCTTCTGACTTCTCTTTTAAAAAATCCTCAGTTGATATTTTTCCATAGAGTGTAGGGGAAGGTTGGGGGAGGGGGGCGCGAGGGGGAGAGAGAGAGAGACATTGATGTGAGGGAAACACATAGATTGGTTGCCTCTTGCAGGCTCCCTGACCAGGGCTGCAGAACGAACCTGCACCCAGTTGCATGCCCTTTACTGGGAATCGAACCCGAGACCCTTTGGTCCTATGCTGATGCTCTAAGCACTGACACACTGGCCAGGGTTCTCCAAACTTTTCTCATGCGCTTTTTCATTCAAGCCATTCATTGATACAAGGGACATTAAAGTGAATAAGGTTTCTGTCCTCGAACTTACAGATTGAGGAAGGAATGACATGGGAACACATATAGTACAACATGCTGCATATTGTCATTATGGTCTTCATACAGTGCTGTAAGGCCCTAGAGAGAACAGTCACCCACAGGAACCTCAGGGGTGAGGCACTGTTCTTTTAGTTGAAAGCGTCAGTATTTCATAAATCACTAATTTAAAAAAACCCCCGAGTTTTTGTTAATCATGGAAAATGTGTGAGTTTCCAGAATAGTCTCATTGAAACTTGATACATTCCTATATAATAAAAGTGTAACATGCTAAGTGTCTAATTGCTCGACCAGTCGCTATGACACACA